TTTTTTTTTTTTTTTTTTTAATGTTAAATTATTTTCAATACTTTTTTTGCTACGATCACACATTTTTGTTATTTTTCCCCCCGAAATTAAATCGCGCAATTTATTTTCAACGATGATTGGCGCCAAATCTTATTTCAACTAATCTATGTAAACACGCGTGAAACAAATCATTGATCGAAATTGTTATATATATTTGTTTATTCACCGATGTTACATCCAATTTAAAATATAAAAGCTCACGGAAAAAGACCAAAAAAAAACACACAATTTTGTCAATGACTCTTAATTAAATTTTTCGGGAGAAAAAAAAAAAAGAGGAAAGAACAATATTCGATTTAATGCGATCAATTTGAACGGCATATTGGGGATTCTCGAGTGAAAGGAGGTCAATGGTTGGTGAAAAACAGGCAAAAAGCTACTCGAGGCGAGTACTTAGGTATGAATGTACCATCGGACGAGTACACCCATCCCAACCAAACCCAGCCTATCTCGAATTAGTTGAAACTTTCCCCGTAAAATCGGCCTAACGTGCAAAACTACCGTTCCTTTTGCAAACTACCTATACATACATATATATATATATTACCCCGTAACGAACTAGGCAAATTTAAACAAAACAAAACAAAAATACACGATTGTTACATCGAACAACCGGAAATATGTGTTCGATCTACAATAAACTTCTTTTATTTATCCTCCTACTATTCTATTTTTTTTTTATTTCTTTTTTTCATCATTCAATTACCTAACCAAATATACGAATATAGAAAATCAACGATAGACGGACGCAGTTGAACGAACCACCGAGTCGGCAATTACGAAAGGGTTTAAAACCTATTTCCCAGAGAGCAAGATGTCGCAATTTTTATTTGCATGGTTACGTCGAAAAATAAATAAAAAAAAAAAAAAAGAAAAAAACAAGTGTGACCGAGGTAACATAAAAAAAGAAAAAGTAGAATTCTTTTTTTTTTTTTCAACGTTACGCTGAAAAACTTTTCAACTCGACCAAAACGTACGTGTGTACACCCCTATGCGTGTATTTTTATTTACATGTAATTTTCTCTCTTTCTCTCTCTCACATACACACACACACACACACACACACACACACAGACACAATGTAATATTACATATGCATTTATGTTATTTGAGCTGGCGCATTTGTAAACGCGTATAAAACGTGTAACTTCGCGAAAACGATAAATTGATATCCCCCCCCACCATCTGTAGGGAAAAAAAAAGTCAAAAGTAAATCTTTTCCTGGAACGAATAAAAGAGTGGGTGTTATCCTAGAGGAATTTCGTTAACATATATTTGAAAAAGGTATTAAAGGGATAGAACAACGTTTTCTAGGTAGAAATCGAAACGACAAACCCGTCAACAGCCTGTTCGTTCGTTCGTTCGTTCATTCATTCGTTTGACTTTAAATGTTAGGAAATGAAGATATTATGTTCCTGAT